GCCTTTGGAGAGTGTGAGGTGTTAGTATCTTCATGGTGTGTAAGATATCACCATGTCATAGCAGAAGTTGGTTCCAAGATAGGCAGAATTAGATCCTTTTTTATTTTTATTTTTTTTAAGGAAGTAAGGAACTAAGTTTCAAAGTAAAAGATATTTTCCTTTTTTTGTTTGCATAGAGTAAGGCTTCATATAATGACAACGGTTACTAGTGCCAAGTTCACATTTCTTTGATATATGTCCCTGTCTAGTCTTTTTCTTGAAAGAATCTTTGGTATCTTTCACAGTGCTTTCCTAAAGATTTTTGGTAAGCATCACATATATATATATATATTTTTAAAATAAGGGACTAGATCTTGGACTAGAACTACCCAATCCACAGACAGGCTGAGGGATAAAATCTTATTTGTAAAGAATAGGTAGTTGTCTTTCTCCTCCTTGGATCCTCTGAAGCTTACATCCTTTTGTGGACTAGGAAATCCAGGATCTACACCTGAAATGGAGGTAAATTGAAAGGTCTCTTCCATAAATCTGAAGAAATATTATGCTGGGTTTTGTACTAGTCAGGCCATTGGCCATAATGTCAGTGCTGGCATGAATGTTAAGTAGTTGGCCTTCCTGTGATTTAGAGGGTCCCAAACACACTGGACCTTACTTCTGCACCATATTTGTGTATCTCATTTGAAATTCAGTCTATTTGGGATGGGCTTAGGATGTGGGCCTAGAACCATCTGGAAGTTTTCATTCTATTCTTGGGCAGTGAAAAGTATCCTTCCAACATTCCAGAGATGTGGGGATGACAGGGATTTCTTGAGTACTAGGTCATCCCCTGGGGATATTACTCAGATCCACATTCATAGGACTTCAGAATCATCCCAGAATCTGGGAAACATATGTTGAGTAGCTTGACTAAGTATTCCATGAGGGCAAGGATTGTGTGTGTCTTCTTTGCCACTGTTCCTGAACCCTTTGTGACACAAAGTACATATATAATACATATTGATCAAATGAGTAAATAAATGAACTCTGCGGAAGTTCTCGATAGTGAACATTTACTGCTATGAGAGCTATCTTTGACCTGATGTTTTCCTTTTGGGGTATAACAGTTCTCTCACTCTTCAAAGTGCCAATCATTTTTTACTTTCTTTTTCTTCCTGATATGGACTTCTTCCTCCCACCCCACCCCACCCCACAGAGTTGTGCAACCATCACCATAATCTAATTGGTGCAGGAAACATAGAACACTGGATGGATCTTGTTGCCAGAAAGATCCAGGTTCAAATCCTTGTTTCTGCAACTTATAAGCTATGTAATCTTCAGCAAATTTCTTAAATTCTTCTTAACTTACTTTTTCCTAGTGATAAAATGATTTGTTACTCATAGAATGTTGGAATAATTAAATGAGGCATTGTATATCAAGGACATAGCTCAGTTCGTGGTGCCGAATAGACATTCAGAGAGAGTTCTTTACCTCCGCTCAGTGACTCTTGTGACTTTCAGCTTCTGGGCCACCCTGGATGGTGAACAGGGAAGAGATGGCTCAGATCTGTGATATTTCTAAGGCATCTTCTCCTGCCTCAGCAGCATTAGAGAAAGAATCCTAATGGAATGGTGCATCTTGCACAATACCCTGCTCATCAATCACGGGCATCACCCAAAATGGCCCATTTTGTACTAGTCAGCCATCTTTCCTTATTTTTCTCTCACAGTCTTGTCTCAGGAAACATACATGCACACTTGAATTTTTGTAAGTCATGGTCTTTCTGTCTTCAGTGGTTTCTTCCCCCAAAGATGCCCTTTCTGGAGGATTCTCAGCACTAGATATTTTTCTTCACAATCATAGAATATTAATGTTGGAAGAAACCCTAGACATAACCCAGTTGTATCCTTCTTTTAATAGCTCAGAAAAAACCGAGGCCCCCAAAAGTGAGGTGACGTGGTTACATCATTAATTGGTAGCAGAGCCAGGACTAATACCATGTTATTGGGCATTTAATAAATATTTGTAGAGTAAAGAAATTCCTTCTGGTACATTATCCTGCCTTGGTAATCTCGGATTCTGACTGTTATCTAAGGGCTGAGTTCACATTCTGACCCCACCTCTCTATTCCTCTTAATCTCTAAAACAAGGATAAACCTGTAGTTGTTAGGTTAAGGAATGAGATCAGAAGCCTGCAAAGCATACCATGTTGAATGGTTATAATATTTATGTAGTCAACATTATTTGGAGAAAGTGGAAATAACAACTTCCATGCTGATGAAAATCTGCACATTTGGTCTGAATCTTGTAATTCATTTTGGTTTTCCGTTTCTGAGTGGAGAGAGCTGACATTTTCCAGGCAGCTCCGGCTTTGGAGGGATTCAGACCCAAGGGATGCTGAGAGAATTTGTTCCCTGCAAGTTACCCTGTGGTTAATGGATGGTATGGTTAGTAAAGGGTTCTGTACCAAGATACTGAGCATGAGGCTTGGAGGGAGATGGGGGAGAGGGGTAGAAGTCATCAATAAAAGGAAAAGAAAAAAATTGGAGATGTCAGTAAGCCCCAGAAATTTCTTTTAATTAATTTTAAGTCCACATGTAAAATATCCAGGCTATAATTTCTGGTGCTAACCATTTAGAAGAAAGTATTATAAAATGTAAGATCATTCTTTTTCTCTCCCCACCCCAGCTCTTCTCCTTTCCTCCCCCCACCCTCCCATGCCTGTTTGTGAACAGACATGCTAAATCCTGAGCCTGAAAGGAGCTGTGAAGATTACAAACTCAGACCCCAGGCAAGCAAAACAGTCAAAAGTGGGTGATTCTCATCCAAAGAGCTGTTAAAGGTTCTCATTTAAAATGAATAAAGTCTTTCAGCAAGCCCCTTATTTCCCTAAATCAATTTGATTTTATGTAACCATTTATCTCCTTTTCAGTTTTCCACCTCCAACACCATTCATTTAATAATGCCTTCATAAACATTAATGTTTTCACCAGATACATTTTAGAGAAGGGTTAGGGGCGGGTAAGGAGAAGTTATAACACATACAGACTGTACTTGTGGCAAAACTTACAAAAAATTAGAGTAAGTGAGAAAAACCATTATACTTGGTTTTAGGAGAGAAAAGATGTAAATTGATGGTGGGGATGTTGGAGGGCAAGTGTAGTGTGGGGACAGGGAACTATTGTTTGGAAAGAGGGTCAAGTGAGGAAAAGGCCGAGATTTAAGCCCCTCTGAGCCTGGAACATTGCTGTGTATTGTGAGATGCTGTGACAAGATGACTTTGAACACACAGTTGGAAGAATGTACAGTACATGATTCCCCTTAAAACAATAAAATAAAATGTGTGCGTTTCGATCAATCTCTTCTTAAACAATCAGCCTCCTCCCTAATGCGCTCCAATACTATGGGCAGAAATTCATTGTGCCTTAGAAACAGGAAGCAGGTTGTGAATGTGTGAACATAAAGAGACACGGAGTGGGTTCTCTGCCCTCCGATAAAGACCCGGATACGCCGCCACCGTGGCACAGCGTTGGTGACCAATTGTCTCCCCACCCCAAAGAGAGCTTAAAGCAAGAAGTGAGAAATTGGTGAATGTATAAATTGGTGCAAAAGTATTTAGCTGTTATTTCCAAATTCACACTCAACCTGATTCACAGATAGGGTCAGGAGTACTTTGCCAAATATTTTTAGCAACCGGGAGTGACGGAGCCTCTTAAATACAGAAGACACTTTTAAAGAATGCTGTCCTCCTTCTCCTCTCCTTTATCATTTACAGTTTATCTACCCATCAGTTTGTTTTGTTTTTAAGTGATAACCGAAATTAATTGGCGCCCTATCTAATTCTTTTGTGTGACTGAAAAAAAAAAAATATAAATAGAAGGTTGTGATGAGAGAGAGAGCATCCTACCAGGTTGCTTTAAAATAGAATTTTTGGAAGCATTGTTGATTTCTACTTATTTTTGTTAGTAAATCCTGCGGAAAAAAAAATGTATATCTTTTCCTTTAAAGTTCTAATTCAAGGCATGGATGTGAGAGTTCTGAAGGGACTTTGGGACTGCGGTAAAATTTCGTTGTCATAGTAACAGAAAGGGAAATAGGCCTAGCTCACCTGGGACTTTAACGCTGCAAAAGCTGGATTTTTTTTTTTTTTTAAGGAAAAGGACTCTGCAAGTGAAACAAATGAAAAGCTTACTGTATTTTGAAACAAAATTTCCAACATTAAATATGTAAATTGCTGAAAGGCCACTTCTGCTATTTTTCTTAGTGGCTGTTGTCTGATTAAAGAAGGCTATTTCTTAAATGGCACAAAGAGGTTATTTAGGAGAACATTGGCTTAAAAAAATGTCTGACAAATGATAATCTCAGGTCATTATTCTATACTTTAGTATTTTTTGGGGGGTGGCGGGTGGGGACTAATATGTAAGTGGTCTGAAAGGGAATAGGCGGTTGTTATTAGTCATAAACCCCCAGTATCTACCTGTAAAGACTGATTTTGTGTTTGGATGGTCACATAAAATTTTCTGATTTTTTATAAACTGGTTGTGAACATCAGGGGAGCTTTGTGTGTGAGAGTGTACGTGTGAGGTGTCTGAGCTTGAATGTGTGTGTGGCCAGCAGAAAGCCATATATACGTGATACACCCTGGGCTGCAGGGCTGTCATGCCATTTTTAACCCTGGAGCAAGACATTTTTGCACGGCAGGGGTCACTGCTGCTCCTGAAGCCCTCTTTGGAGCAAGAGTGCCCTGGTAACTATGGGGCCAGGGTGCAAACCAGGAGCCCAGCTTGTGAACCACTTAAGAATCCCCTGACAGTGATGGAGAAGGGGGAATATGACTGGAGATTGAAAACATCCAAATTTGCAAATTGCAAAGGGTCAGCGATGTTCTTTCATAGGCAAGGCTGGTTGAAATTCCCCAGACCTGAAATACAATCACTTTCAAATCAAATCTAATATAATGCAGATATAGTCTCCCTTAAACAATGTTTACTTAAAAATGTAACACATTGCTTTCTCTTCACAGATTCTTTTTAAAATTTTTTCTCAAGTGCAATCAGAATTGTTTGAAAACAGCAGGGAACCCAAGGGACATGAGACGGTTTCAGGTAAGGGGCCTGCAATTCTTTCCTGTTAAATAAGTCATCCTGTTTTCTTTCTCCTTCTCACTCTTTTTCTTTCTGGGGAAAATAAAATTATTTACTGATACTACTAACAATAAAAAAGAGAATTGTGAATGATGACCCTGTTCTGGTGGTATTGAGGTTTTCTTCATTTTGTAGTGTTTAGGCCTCTGCCTTCACTAGCAAATCCCCATAGGGAGAGGCACCAGCCCATGCCGGAGATTTGATTTTAAGCCCTCAGGCTGCCCTTCGCACACACAGCTGCCCACAGCAGGAACTATGTTCTTGATATTCAGCCACCTTGGGATTTTTCAAAGCAGTTTCTCTGTGCTTTCTGCAAGCAACACCCTCTGTCTTTCCTTTTCCTCCGATTCAGTGGTCCCTCTTGGAGCCTTCCAGAAAGCAGCAGCCCAAACAGCCGTGGTCACTTTAAGATAGCAGCATGGCAACAAGACCCATGGGACTATGACTCAGCTGCCTGGCAGTTAAATCTGCCACTGGTTTCATCACCCTTGCCACTGATGTACTGAGAATACGAGCTAATAAAAACACAGAGCAAGGCAAAGTGTGAGGTTGGAGATGAGAGGAAATGCAGCCCCTCTTGAGCTCCTTTTTTAATGTTTGAAGGATCCATATTTAATTCACCAAATGTCTTTGCTGCATTTGTCACTGATCTTAAATACATAGCACCACATTCTCCATAGAAAAATGACCGGTTCCATCAAATCAGTTCCGACTCCTGGCGACATCATGTGTGTCAGAGTAGAACTGTACTCCAGTGGGGTTCTCAATGGCTGATTTTACAGAAGTAGATTGGCAGACGTTTCTTCTGAGGTGCCTCTGGGCGAACTTGAACCACCAACCTTCCCGTTAGCAACTGAGCACTTAACCATTTAAAACACCCAGAGACATAGAAAAATAAGAAACATTTAAAACAATAGTATTCAAGCATGATTTAAAACAAACAAACAAACAGAAATCCTCTACCCAACGAGAGAGATGGAGATTGTGAGCCTCATGTTTTTATGTGAAGAAATGGAGGCTCTAGGTGTTTAATTAATCCACCAGCCACTCCTCGGAAGGAAGATGGGGCAATCTGCTTCCATAGTGATACTGCCTCGGAAACCCAAGGAGGGGTCACTATGAGTCTGTCCGACTCGACGGCACATAACAACAACAATCACAGTGAGATTGTGGTAGAGCTAGGAGCCAGGAAGATCTTTTTGATCAAACTCTTTCCAATAGACCATGGGTGGGCGACCCATGTAATCACTTAGTTTAATACTTTACTGTCACCTTTGTGGAATTCTTAATTATTACTATTTTTCAAAATTTATTTTATCTGTTATTGTTGTTGAGAGCATATATGGCAGAACATATACCAATTCAGCTGTTTCTACAACCATCCTCACCCTTCTTTTCTGAGTTGTTCCTCCCCTATTAACATAAACTCACTGCCCCCTCAGGTTCCCGTCTAATCTTTCCAGTTGCTATTGTCAATTTGATCCCATGTAGATAGTTCTTAGAAGAGGATACTGCTCAAGGCAGACATTCTTGTCTTAATTATTTTTGAATGAGAGGACCCACATTTTAATTTTGCACTGGGCCCCACAATTAGATAGCCAGCCCTGCTTCTCAGTCAGAGAGGTTCTATAGTATTGCTATAGTTATGTAGTTGGTTGAGATTAGAGCCATTAAAGAGTTAATAGAAGGAGAAGGGAATAGGCAAGTGTGACACATGCAAGGCCAGTGAGAGCTACTTTGGAAAAAGATTCTTGCTATTTTTTAAACTACATAGTGGTAATCAAACAATCTTGCTATGCTGAAAGGTTTTTGTTACAGTATTTATGTTAAAATATTGGTACCAACTCCCATTTAAAAAGTTAAACCACTCCTTTCTATCATGTTGATTCTTCTCTCTGTGTATTCTGAACATTTCATGTAAATGGAATCATGCAACATGAGGCCTTCTGGACTTTTTCATTTAACATAATGTTTCCAAAATCCATCCATGTATAAATTCTTCATTTCTTTTTATGGCTGAATAATATTCCATTGTATAGATATACCACATTTGGTTTATCCATTCATCTATTGGTGGATATTTGGGTTATTTCCACCTTTTGGCTATTATGAACAATGCTTCTATGAACATTCATATACAAGTTTTTGTGTAAACATATGTTTTCATTTCTTTTAGGTATATACCTAGGCATGGAATTGCTGGGTCATATGGTAATTCTATCTTTAACTTTTTGAGGAACTGTCAAACCATTTTCCCCAGGAGCTGCATTATTTTACATTTCAAGCAGCAATGTATGAGTGGTCCAACTTCTCTACATCCTCACCAATACTTGTTATTTTCCAGTTTTTGAATTATAGTCATACTAGTGGGTGTGAAGGAGCTCTGGTAGCATAGTGCTGAAGGCACTTGACTGCTAACCAGAAGGCTGATGGTTCAAACCTACCAGCCACTCCTCGGAAGGAAGATGGGGCAATCTACTTCTGTAGTGATACTGCCTCGGAAACCCAAGGAGGGGTCGCTATGAGTCGGGTCTGACTCGATGGCACATAACAACAACAACAAGTGGGTGTGAAGTGGTATCACACTGTAGTTTTGATTTATATTTCGCTAATGACTAATGATATTGATATCTTTTCATGTGCATATTGGCTTTTGTATCTTCCTTGGAGAAATATCTATTTAAATCCTTTGCCTATCTTTAATTGGCTTATTTGTCTTTTTATGGTTGAGTTGTAAGAATTCTTTACATATTTGGGATACTAGACACTTATCACAGAACTCTGGTGGTACAGTGGCTAAGGCACTCAGCTATTAACCAAAAGTTCAGTGGTTGGAATCCACCAGCCACTTTGTGGTGTAAAGATTTATAGCCTTGGAAACCCTATGGGCAGTTCTCTGTTCCACTGGGTCACTATGAGTTGAAATCAACTTGATGGCAGTGGCTTTTGGGTTTAGATTCTTATCAGATGCATTGTTGTAAAATATTTTCACCCATTCTGTGCGTTGTCATTTTGCTTTCTTGGTAACATTCTTTGGTGCACACAGGAGTTGGCCATTTTTATACTGTAGTTAAGATTCTATTATGAATTTAACTTTCAGTGAAAGCTCTTTTAAAGGGAGAAGACTATATAGAGAAAGGCTTGAGTATGTGCTGTAAAGAGCAGTGAGAAACTGGGGTCAAGTTAAAAAACATGAAACAAAATCAGAAATAGTTGGTAATGGTTGTGGTGGTCGTGGTGGGGTATCTGAAGGAATGGTGACATCTAGGAATTCCTAGAATATCTACTTCACTTAGAAGGCCAAAGATAATCATAACAGTTTGCTCTCCATACATGTAAAGTGAGGTAGAAAATTGAGGCAATTGTCCACACAGTTTGATCTCTGTTATCTGAATGTTTCAGGTAAAAACATTTAAAGCTTTTACTTGGCTTAGACTATATAGACAGTTACTTCAATTCTCCACTTTTGTTATATGATCAAGCATTGATTTAATTTCAAGAAATCTTTTGTGAGGACTTGATCTGAACAGACTAGAAGTACATAATGTTTTAAACCAAATCACAAGTCTAACCAAACTTTCCCCTTCTGTCATCCCTCCTCCTTCCTCTATCCCTAAACCACTGGTAGGACCTGGATTCTCTATTCCAAAAGTAATTGAATGAGAATGAAATGTTATATCAAATTTATTTTCCAGCCTGAACTGGAGCTCTTTCATTCAGCTCCAGTCCTAAGTATCATAGGACATATAAAAGATTTATCTAAACACAATGGGTGTTAACCCTTTTTTGGCTCAGATCTTTTTGAGAATCTGGTAAAAGTCAGTGTCTGTCAAAAAGAAAAAGAAAACACATTTAAACAAAGTTTTGCTTAAAATTTCAGGAGATCCCAGACCTCTTGAAACCACTGCACTTAGGGTCTCATAGACCCTCGATGGCACATAACAACAACAACAGACCCTAGATTAAGAACCCTTGATCTAAAGAATTTGAATTCATCTAACACTAAATAGTCACTCTCTGTGTAATTTTAGCTCATGGGATTGGGATGTATCCCTGTAAGACTCTTCCTAGTATCTTTCCACTCTCTTGGCTTCAGATGCCATCTGTTCCCAGATGACTCCTTGATCCATACTCTCAACCTCCATCTCTCGCTGGAGCTGCAGACGTATAGCTCTACTTCCCTACTGGGCATCTCCGCTTGAATGACTAATGAGCACATGTTCAAAACAGATCTCAGTACTTCTTCCTTGATCCTTTCCCTTTCCTGGCAACCCACTCCTCCTTTTTTATTGTTAGAGTGTCACTTCTTCCTTCTAAGTATCTGTTAAGTCCATCCCTATCCCACCAAACTGCAATGGCCCTCTGTACCTCTACCTGTCTTTGTCTAACTCATCCTCAGCACTACTTGCCAGAGGTATCTTTCAAAACACAAATCTAATCAAGTCATTTCCCTGGTTAAAATACATCTTGAGTATCTACTATCACTGGGTTGAAGGGGAAGCCCAGGCTTTTAGCATGAGTGATAAGACTTACTCAACATCCTCAGACCGGGCAACTCTTCTGCCATGCCCATCTTCTGATGTCTTCATATGTTCACTACTCACCAGGCACCCCTATGTTTCTATATTACATCTTAGAACTCTTCCACATTTTGTCTCTCTGCCTGAGAACGCTTCATCTCTCTCCAACTTGTGACTCCTATTCATGCATCAAGACTAAACCTGACTGCCTTTGTCAGGCATTATCTGACTCTTCTAGGCAGGACTGTTGGCTCCCTCTTCTGTGCCAACATAGCATTCTCCACAAACCTCTTCTGTGGCATTCATCACAATGTATTGCAACTATTGTTGGTCTCTCCAGTAGAGAGTGAGCTGCTTGAGGGTAATTGGTATGATGTTTTGTACATTTTTAAAAGTTTTAGCACAATACCAGACACTCCATAAAGCACAATAAATTGTTAT